GATAGTTCGGGGTCTTCATGCGGTTTGTATTCACGGCAGAAATGTATACAGTTAGTTTTGGATTTAAAGCCGTTTTCAGCTGACAATTTATGAATTTTATTGAGACAAAAACTGTCTCTCTATTGTATGCATTTTTTCACCACGACAAGAAACATTAAAATCATCCACTAAAAGTGAGCCATCAACTGAATCATTTAAAACCTTAGAAAGACTGTTGAATTTAATACTAAATAATGTCACAGATAAAATACTGCCTTGTCGGACACCCTGATCCTTTTGTAATGGCCAGACAGGGTTGAACCCACTCGGACTTGAAATTGTCAGTCTGTTAAAAATTGTGAGATAAAATTAGGTAAACGACCTCTCAAACCGAAATCATGTAGATACTTCAAAATGCCGTGCTTCCAGGTAGTATCATATGCTTTCTCCAGATCGAAGAAAATTGATACTACGTGTTGTGTATTTACAATAGCATTCTTAACATAGGATTCTAATCGTACTCAATGTCAAAGGCAGTGATCTGTATCATGACAGTTAGTGACGACAGAGGTGGTTCTAAAATGATTAAAATCAATTAACGAAGTGTGATACAAATATACAAATCTATTACAAGAATATAATCAACTATTAAACCCTTGTGATACTTACAATTCTATATCTTTACATTGATCCAAAGCTGGATGGTGACGCAGTTTGCAAGCCTCAGAACTATCTATTTTGCACAAGCAGTATTGGATTTTTCACTGTGATTGGTAGTGGCTGCGTAATTATTATTATCCTGAGAGGAGTTCATTGGAAGCATTGGAGAATATAGGTATATGTTAAATATCGGCGTAACCTGATTTTGATCCCATACATAATTATAAGCCTGTGCATCAGAGTTATAATGTGTCAGAAGTAGATATCAATAAATTAAATAGAATTAAACCAGTTACCGGTTACGTGGATTGTTTGTTCGGATTCGAAAAGGTCGTTTTACAAACACGTCGTATCAGCCACTCATGGTGAATATTGTTTCAGTGGTGAGAATCCATCAATTGTGACGCAAGAATCAGTTGAGCATGTCCTGTTTGACAATGTTGATTTTGCCTTCACATGACATATTTTTCAGTGTGAACACACTCAGTGACACCTTGGCCAACCATTCTTCCTCATTCAATTATTGTATGAACAGCAAGAAAAACCCTATCTATTTCCTTTCATAAAATGGGGAAGATTACGTTGACATATTTTTTCTTCATTAGCTCACGATACGGCTATAGGAGCTGATAACATACATTACCAACTCCTGAAGCACTTACTAGAATCATGTTGGAAAAACCTTTTAAAAATTTTGATGACATATGGACGTCGTGGAAATACGTCGTGATACCATAATTGTCCCAATACCCGCAGGGCCATGACACGCATGATCAATAATCAAATACATCATTTTGGGGTCATTGGTCAAAAATGCCATAATTATTAAACAACATGCTGGGTCTGTCTTTTTCGATTTAGAAAAAAACATACGACACTACGTGAAATATTTTAAAACATTTTCATTATTTAAGAATACAAGGCCGTTTGCTTCAATGCATATTCAGCTTTTAAATGGTAGGCAATTTCATGTCCGCGTGAGTTCCACCCTGTCTCAATTATTATAATTAGGATTAGGGTGTCCCTCAAAGCAATATTTCGTCTGTCACTTTAGCATCAAGATAAACAGTCTATCTAAAGTTTTAATTGTTTCAAATGATGCGTCGCTCTTTGTGGATGTTTCTATCATGTATACTATCGAGTCGAAAGTGAATTTATATTCTCGAAAACCAATTGTATTTAGCTTTGAAGAAAATGTTGACCACATAAGACCTAAGACTATTGTTAGATGGCACCCCTATCAAAGGAAGCCACGTTTCTGGGTATGTCTTTCAATCACCATTAAACCATTCAGTCTCATATAGAAATATGTAAAGAATAGATGCTTGAATGCACTGGATAGCACCTTCCGCTTAGTATGTGGAGCAGTGAATCGCTCCAAACTTTCCTCAGTCCTATATGGCGGTTCATGTAAAAGCAATTTAATATTAGATTGGGTCTATTGAAGATATGAAGCTTTGTCATGGAACCTTCAGAACTTACGTAGTATAAAATTATCCTATAAATATAATAAAATTTATCCAATTAAGGGATAAATTCTCTTATTGACTTTGAGCTGCCAAATCTTTGATCTGTATTATTAAGGGGAGATAACTCTTTTAGCTCTAGGTAATCAGTAGAAACTCGCGGCAGGGCGTTACCGTCTTCTCGGCGTAATGGGCAAGAGCAGATAACTCTGAAATTATTTCACTAAGCACATGGTGCCAGCGGGATTGTGAAGGCGAGAGGCAGGGAAATATCAACAATGCAAATATCCCATCCACCCTTCCATTCAATTTTAAAATTTTAATCTGTTGCTGTGTTATATATATGTATATATGCTGGCATGCTCATATGGGATTTACATTGGCACGATGCTTTGTGGTTCATTTATTGTAGCTTGTGAGTCTACATGGAAGATAACTCAAATTAATATTTGCTCTAGATGCTCACAATACTTAGTTCTAGGCATAGGTAAGGTATGTGGCTGGGCTCCCGGCTCATATCATACTGCCAGGGGGTGGGATTTGTGTAAGCACTCTGGTCTTACGATGTGGTCGCCCTCGGAGCCTGAGTGATGCATACTGTGTCTTGGCCGAGAGAAATGGGTGCCTATGTGGTGGCCCTAACACCCATATGCTCTCATTGTCATTGGCGTAGGAGAGCTTTCGGCTCTCCTTGGGGATTAGGGGTTCAGGTAGGGTTGGGAGCAGTTGCTCAGAGTATACAAATTATATTCAGGAATAAACTGTGCCCATTATTCCCAGATCACTTCTTTGTTTATTTGTGCATGAGTGTAATGAAAGATGATAATACTAAACTGCACTGTGCAAAATCCAATCCAGCGTATAACTGGGATTTCCATCGTCTTTTTAAAGAACTAATGATATAGCTGAAATATTGCCTCGTTTAACAAATTACCTTTACTGGTAGATTATGTTCAACATATGTCTACGAAATACACACACACACACACACACACACACACACATGGGAAAAAGTATCGCGGCACCTCTGAGTTTTAACCTCCATATAACCATGAATATGGCATAAACGTGTATTTTTACCCATACATAAATATTAGATATGCATGTTTCAGTTAACTGTCCTTACAGCTCGAAAACTTACAGCTGAAAATCAATAGATTTCAACTGAAACAGCTCAAAGATAGCAAGTTGTTGGTATATGGAATGCTCCCATGTCCTCATCCAATAACTAATAACATTGAGGACCGTTCGGGTCGACTGACAAGGATACAGGCCTTTTCAGAATCACAAGACTTCATCAGTTCATGTCACGTGGCGTTCAAAACAGGGTGACTTCCGCATCAACGTTTGTCAAACAGAATGGTCCGAAATCGCCCGGGCATAGATCCAGACGCCCATTATTATACACGGAGCACAAAGAAGCATGACCAGGAAGCTCAACGTCACTGGAGATCGATGCTCATGCTGTTGATCACTGGATTGACTGGTCCAGACTCGATTATTTACAGACCGCCGCCATAGAGATGGAATATTGCCGAGTGCGGCGTAAACCTGAACTCACTCACTCATTCACTCACTCGACGTGTTTGGCGCCGCGGAAAACATTTCATGTACACAACGAAACATCTTGGAGCAAGTACCGTTTGACTGGGGTTCATTGATGGCGTTGGGGTGCCTCTCACATTACTGTAAACTTGTCTTATTGCCATGAAATAAAATCAGAATGGACAATGGTAAATCACTTACATCTGAGACAGGGTTGTTATACCACATCAAGATGACTAGCCAGTTTTCATGGGCGACAGTGCCAGGCTACTTGCACGTGCACATGATTTCTTACGTCAAGAGGTGGTATTAATTCTACCTCGGCCCGCCAGGAGTGCAGATTTCATGTCCAGACATGGAGTTTGGGATATTATTGGTCACAAAATACGACAGAGAAATCATCCAGTACAAAATCGGTATGTATTGGAACAAGCCCTCCATCGAGAATCGAACGCAATACCAAAACATCAAATTCAACTCCTGATAGTCAATAGGGAAGATTGACAGGGATGTTATTGCAGTTGGCGAAGGTTACACCTGATATTGACACTGTCGCAATTGTATGCAAAAATAATCACCACATCATTCGACTATAGTTATCTGCACTACAAATCAGGTTACTTTTTTATGCCATGTTGCTCCTCTGAACAAACTTCTGTTTTCCGTTCTTTTTGCGTTTAAATTTGAGATATTACTTTTTCTTCAGGGTTAGTTGATTCAACTTCTAAGTTGCTAACGGCTGAAGGCATAGTGTAAATCCAGCTATGGTCCATGCAGGAAGCAAATGTACTGTAAGTCCCCATGGTCCCTAGTATGGTGATCTACCTTCAGTTGTTGGCAGTCTATAGCCTGTTTTCACATTATCATGTCATTTCTAGTTAAAATGTTTTAGATTTCATAACTAGTTTTATATGGATATCTGTAATACACTAGTAGTTTTACAGTTCTTCTTCAACAGGCTTTTTTTTCTAAATTGATTTATCCATAATGTAATGATTAATGGTTCTCGTCACGATATAGCTGAAATATTCCCGATTAGACGATAAATATTAACTCACTCACCCACAGTTGATTCAACTAGTAAGTTAAATTAAGGTTGGGATACGTTCCTTTGCTATGGTTAATTGTAACATATTGATACTGTGACAAAAACATGGTGTTTTGTGATGCCTTCTTCCATGTTCAGTCACTTATTGGATTTGGGATGACGTGAACCGAACCTGATGGGAAGGTATGCCATATACGCACGTTTACATTTGTGGTGTATTGTGACCACCTTGTTTGCACAGTAATTAGTGAAAGGTCAGTCCACAAATAGGATCGTGTGAAATACTAATAAAAAGTACCTACCGAAGAAAACTGGATTTGTCTTTTGACTCTTGTTCACAGACGCTTTTACTTTAGTGCCTTCGTAGATTAAACTGACCACGTTCCATTCATTTCTCTAAAACACACAAACACAATTCATAATATTACCAAAACCAAATATACATGAAAACATACATGGCAGTTGCAATACATTTCAAAGGGTGCTTTGTAATGAAATGCTGATAACTCAAGGTATTTTATATGTACAGTTGAAAGAACGGAAATGGACATTAAAGTGAATTCATATTTACGGTAAATACAAAATGCTTAGTTTTAACAAAAAGAATATTTGAAGAAAACAAGATATATATTCAAAAGTAACATACACCGTCCTGACAATGCAAACATTTTTTCTGCATATGGTTATTGGACGAAAAACGGACGTTTTCTAGCCATCGTGTTTTCGTCTAAAAAACATCGTTAATTGACATCAGAATGTATTGCAATGGAACGGTGTTATCACAATAGTCCCTATATTTTTTTTTATTGACATTGTCAATTGATTTCCATTTCATTCTTTTCATGGAACAGGTATATGTACTTGACACAGCTACCCTACCCGACCCTGTACCTTAAATACACTTTGTTGAATTCTCAGTCACTGAAACAACACGTGTTAATATCTATTCTACCATGGCTACGTGAAATGCTCGAATTTGATTGGTCAATCCATAAAATCAGACGGTATCAACTTGGATTGAAAATGCATCTGATTTCACGGCGCTTCACTGCGCACGTATACAACACTGCCGCACTACCTCAGCTTGGCCACCAACAGGACTAATATAAACACAACAGACGTGATGGAAATGCTGATGAAACATTTATTAAAACTCGAAAAATACAATTATACGATGTCTCCTACACAATAATTAGGGAACCTCACTATCATAATTATTATCTTCTATTATAAAAATTTTCAAACTCAATTACAATACACACCTCAAAACATAAACAAATAATATCTAACATATAAATCAGAAAACCTTGTAAAAATGCATCCCTATCTATCCCTATTTGTGCGGCAAAACGTTCGTAAATATTTACCTACCTGGTAAATGGTATATTTGTTTCCGTTTAGAATGGGAAATTCGCAAGATAACGGTCAGGCGAAACAAAAAATGTATGCCACTCATACTCCATCATGTCCCGTTGCATCGTTCAAAATGTCAAAAAATTGAACCACGAGAATTCCGCTTTCTTCCACCTTCCCCGCACGGCTGTCACTGCTATGTTCATACACTTTGAAAAGCTTGGCCAAAATCCAGTCCTAAATGATGAGAACAACAATTCCAAGGAATCCCAAGTTAGTCGCATGTACACAAAGCAGCACTGTCACTCTTTCGTCCCATGCCGGGATGGTGGCACGTACGTGAAATCATGATCCACACTCGCCGGTCATAAAAATCAACAGTCTTTGATGAGTTACAGGTCATAGGTCGATCAGAAAAGGATGTATTCTTCGATTCTGCAGGGTTCAGGTTCGAAAGTCAGTCAAGTATTTCCCACTGTCACTTCAAATTTCAACCTTTCGCAAAATGTAAACACTGGCTCGTCCGCCATTTCAAACTGTTGCGTAACTGTCTACTTCCAAGAAAATAAGTAGGTCAGACGATTCCATTTTAGTGTGGCCAGGGGAGCACAGTAACACGGCACACAAAATAATAGGCTCGTTTCGGTCGTGTTATAATGATTATTATGATTATAAAAACCAAGCCCCAAGGTGTTACATTATTGCATTGAATAAACAGTAGTTTGTTTTCTTTGGACAGAATATTTTTTATGCTGCAATGTTGAAAAAAATACGAATGGCACCTACCACTCCCTTCACAGACGAGTTCAATTCGCCTCTCGTCCCATGCCGGATTACGCAGTGTCTTCCGCAGGACGAGGAAGTTCGATGTTACATCGGTTATGGTAGAATGGAGATAAACTTACTGTGTTTGGAAATTAGATGAATGTTAGACCGAATTGATAGTCTCTAAATTGATCATTTGAAACCTCACGTTACGCGTTCGGCTTCAAATGACTATCAATTCGGTCTAACATTCATCTAATTTCCAAACACAGTACGTTTATCTCCTAACTCACAAGTGATGTCATATCCCGGAAAGTTACTAGTTTATGGGATCTTAGTTTTTGACCATTCTGTCAACTGTCACTTAACATGCAGAGACCAACAAAATAAAACTGTCACTAAAACAAGCCGAAACCTCAAAGGAATTGACATGGTGAAATTCAGTAGATATTTGGCATAATCCAATCTGGTCGTGAATCGTGCAGCACACCGTCATAGTCAGACTGAGCAGTACAATAACTTAATCCGCCAACCCCTGGATTGTCATAACCCTTTGAAATATAGAACGTTTACACGGCGTACAGGATGTCCCTGGTACAATCAAATTAAACTAAGCAAAGCAGCGGCGTCGAGCTGAGTGCAAAAAAGGGTAAAACTCACATCGAGAAGCGTTTCGTCAATTATACATATCTCAACGTTATGTGTGTTGCTAAACTGTGTTAGAGTGAGTGAGTGAGTTTGGTTTTACCTGCTTTTAGCAATAACACGCGGAAATGGGCTTCACACATTGTACCCATGTATCTTCGGAATCGAACCCGGGTCTTCGGCGTGACGAGCGAACGCTTTAACCACTAGATTATCCAACGGCCCCTAAAGGGTGTTAGAGCACAATATCTTATACTGTAGACAACAAATTTAAATGATTCTTTGAAAAAATAATTCTTGATATTTGAAAGCTCCTTCAGATATACTCCGTTCATTGATACTTTGTTTGAGGCCTGAGTTCTCACATTTTACTCAGGAAGAACGACTTTCTCTCATCAAATTATCAACTAAGAAGCAACCTTGTAATGGATTGTATAGAGGTGTTACTCCCAGTTATCACTGACATTATAAATATAGGCTTATCATCTGGAATCTTATGCTGCCTCTTTGAAAGAAGCCATTGTGACGCCTTTGATACAGAACTCAAAACATAACAGAAACTGATTTATGCAGTTTGAATTGGGGCGAGTCGATTGTCATACAGTAGGGGAGATCAATAATTCGCTTTAGAAAAATCAAATAATTGTACTTGCTCACAGTATAAGCTGTATTTTTTTATTTGTGTATGCTACTTTTTACAAATACAAGCATACTGGTTCCTGAAATAAAATGTTGTTGAAATGTCTTATTTTGTTAATTACACAACCTGTCCCTCAACGGGACGATTCTAAGCGATTTCCAGGTAAAAGGCCCCTTCACGCCTTGTGTTCTTGCGCGCCAAACAGTTCGGTTTTAGAACTCTTATCAGTCGTGTTAGAATGAAGATAAAGCTACTCTGTTTTCAATTTTGCGGTCCTTTATCGTTGATATAAGACCGCTAAAAGTTTAATTTAGCGGTCTTAAATCAACGATAAAGGACCGCAAAATTGAAAACCGAGTAGCTTTATCTTCTAAATAATGTACACTGTTTTCATTCAATCCAAATATTCCAGCCACTGGAAGATGACATAAAGCATAAACATGTTTGGCATTAATATTTATATCCCTAATATACTAGATGGACATATTTGGGAGCTAAGATGTAAATGAAACACAAAGATGACTATATTTTCCAATAATAATAATTAACGTTTATTGCTTCTTGTTGAAACATCACAGGATGTTTCTTTCATTTAGAAGTGAATATTGGTGAATGTCAATGGGACTGCCACGACAAGTTTTAATACAGGGTAAAGCTCGGCAAGCACATTTAGTATTTTAGTATTTTAGTAACTAAACGTGCCTGTATACTCACAGCTGAAGCATGTTCTTGAAAAATGCTCCATATTTCACCTTCAATGTGTTGATTGAACATTATTACTTCTTATACAGTAAAATGACATAATGAATACTCCTGACAATAAGCCCACTAAAGAGAAGTATTTTGAAAACACACAATGCCTTATAATTTGACATAGAATTATATCTACCCACATACCACTTTAATGCGTGACACGTCATCGTATTTTTAAACGAACTTATCCGTTAAAGTGATGCCGTTGTTAGGAATTGTACGGTTTGGCCGAGACTGTCAAAATCACCTTAAACCTCGAAAACGTACAATCAAATGTCTGCGCATCTGTAGCATTATATGTACCTAATCCAAATCCTCCCACATCTTACATGTTTATAAATAGTGAGTGAGTGAGTTTAGTTTTACGCCGCACTCAGCAATATTCCAGCTATATGGCGGCGATCTGTAACTAATCGAGTCTGGACCAGACAATCCAGGGATCAACAACATGAACATCGATCTACGCAATTGTGATACGATGACATGTGTCAAACCAGTCAGCGAGACTGACTACCCGATCCGTTAGTCGCCTCGTACGACAAGCATGGGTTACTGAAGATCAATTCTAACCTGGACCTTCACGGATCTGTTTATAGATAGACTAATATCATATCTACCAGAAATGCCGCGTTTACGTCGTAACTACCTTAATACGCATTTATCACCCCACAGCTCAAAGTAATAAAAACAATTGTCCTACCTCTGATTGGTTCACGTGTCCTTGAACATATTACCATGTATGCCAGCTGGGTATAAATCCTTGCGAGAGAGAATACTAGTAAATCAGCATACAGCAAATCAAAATACATGCCCAATCAAACAAAAATACATCCATAAGCTAAACAAACATCTCAAACAAAAGGACCTGCCCTTACCCACCACCACACAACTCGCTTACAGCTCTCTACTTGCTATCTCCTCATCCACCTAATCTTCAGACACCTCCACCAGCATACACAAACCCCACACCCACCCACTAAATCTCGCAAGTCACGCCCCACCAAACACTCACTCAACATCCCTATTCCACACATACTCTAGTCACCCACCCACCAATTAACCCCTCCAAGCGATGTCGCCCCACCTCCACCCAAACCCTCTAATCACCCCCCACCGTCCCAACCAACACTCACTCACAAAACACTAACAAGCCTCACCCACTTAAAACTTAAAAAACACTCTGCATCCTCCCCCTGCAACACACACACACTCACACCACAAAAGCTCAACCAAAACCTCA